TGTAGTCTTGTAGGCACTGTGCGTTTCACGCCGCGCCGCACCGACCGCTGCGTTGACCGTACTGTGTTTGACGCAAGGCGTGAAGTATTCATGCAGTCTCGTAGGCGCTAATGTGTGTTACATGCTGACCGCCGCGTCGAGGGCTTCTCCTTTTCATCTCAAGTCCTCGTCATCATTTCTCTTTGCGCCGCGCCGCTCCAGGCCAAATTACGTGTTTGGTTTCTCTCTTAACTCAACTAATTAAAGGTGCGCAGTCTTTTGTATCACCGAAATACGACTAAATTAGAAATTAATAAAATCTCAGGAAATGAGAGATCTTGTCATCTTTTCTTGTTTGTAATTTTTTTCTGAATCCGATTTTTTTGTACCTGCATTTAAAAAAATTGCAAAATTTGCCGCCCCCTACTTTTGCCGCCATGGGCCGCGGCCCATGTGGCCACCCCCTTAATCCGGCCCTGCTGTCGGTATGGAAATGAAGTTGAATTAAACATTGTCTCTTACCCTAGCCTCAATTATAGCGAGTGAAAACATAGCAAAATGGCATAAAGCACGTAGAGTCTTAATGTAAATGGGATAGAGCTGGTGCCATGTTCTGCTCGACGAGTTCCGAGCCCGGTGTGCGCCGAGTTCGGGTCACTTTTTCGATATATGTTCGATCCAAAATGGCGGTGTGGAATACGTGGTGATTCCTATCTACGTTGTTTACATTGGATGGCCGGGTACCCGTGTATCGCAAACAATCGATAATGTATCGAAAAAATGAACCGGCGTCACACAGGAGTCTCGGAATTCGAGACCTGGAAAATGCTTAAAAGTGGTGCCAGCTCACCCACTTACATTACGACTCTTTGTGTTCTATGCAAAAAGGGCCACTTTTAATACCATGCTTCCATGGTGCTCGCACTGAGTATGGAAGTAAACCGATGTCGTGCGTGTTTAGCCGGGTCAAACTCTTCATATACGGCAAATGAGGCGTTTTTAAATGGCTTCAAATTTACTCAAGTTTACTTCAAATTTTAATTTGACCTGATAGTCCGACGAAGCCTCGAAGAAATAATGATAAAAGAGGGCGGGAACTTATGTATGATATAATATATTGCTTCATTTTTGTTTCATTATCGCGCCTCATCTAATCGTAATGTTTGGGGAAATCGATTCATATAAAGCCCAATTCACACCAGCAAACTTTTCATCCAGGGGCGCCAATTGGATAGAAAGTTGAACGAAAAGTTGGATGTGACGTCACATTCAAGCTTCCGTTCAATTTTCATCAAATTGTCATTTTTTCGCGTCAGTATCACACAATCCAACTTTTCATAACGGTAAGTTGCATTCAAGAGTTGAAGGAAAAGTTTGATAGTGTGAATGGAGATGTTGGATGTGTGAGGAATTTGCGATTTGACTGTTGATTCTCACGTTAAAGTTCGCGAGAAACACGAGGGCGCCGCTGGTTTTCTCTGATATCAACTCCCAAGCTCAAAAAAAGCTCTCAAGTTGAGGCCAAAATGGAGGGGATATCCCACGCTATCCTGAGAGTCCACCTCTACATCAAGACAAACTTTCCATGCAAAGATAGGGAGCAAATACATTAGCAGGGTTGCCATGTTTTCAATTTTAGAGTCCCCAAATAAAGTGGCATCCCTGTCAATGTATTTGCTCCCTATCTTTGCATGGAGAGTTCGTCTTGATGTAAAGATGGGCTCCCAGGATAGCGTGGGATATCCCCTCCATTTTGGCCTCAACTTGAGAGCTTTTTTTGAGCTTGGAAGTTGATTTCAGAGAAAACCAGTGGCACCATCGTGTTTCTCGCAAACTTGTACACAAGAGTCCACGGTCAAATCGCAAATTCCTCACTCATGTAACATCTCCATTGGGCTTATAAACTCTTGCAAGTTCACAACACTGTCCTTATTCAATTTAAATCCATCATAAATATCGATTCTTGATGACACTACCAGGTCCTTCACCTATATTCGATTGTTCAGCCCGTATCATACGATCAAAGTGGAGCTCTCAATGGAGAGTCAAGCGAGGTCACGTGACCCTCAAAGATCGTCGAACTGACAATATTCGAGGCTCACTGATTGTGAGTGTCACGTGACCCCACGTGACGCTTTTTTGAGAACTCCGCTTTAATCTATATGATGCGAGCTTTTTACATACCTTTAAATGGAAGGAAAACAGCAGCGGCGTGGCGTGCTTTCCGATATATCGATTGATCTGCCATTTAAACCTAGGGAAAAGGATCGATATGCAGGGTGTTCGCAACGAACACCTCAATAATCGATTCTTTACCATAGCTTCAAATGGGGAAATAACGATAATCGATCATTCGCGCCACGCCACTCGATAGTGCCAACTTTTTTTCTCCATGATAATTTCGAGATTTTGCCGGTAAAGTGCTCCCTTCCGCCCCAATGGCGTGGCGTACTTTGCGATATATCGATAGATCAGCCATTTAAGGTGAATCCAGGGTTCGATTAGGGATAATTCAAGATTAGAGATAGCACCACCAGTCACCACTGAGAATTTCACTTTCCTTCGACGATTACTGAAATAATATTGTTCAAATTACAAAAAGCAGATCCACAAGACATAGATTATTTTTTGCTTGATGTTTTGAGCTAAAAATATTGGCAATTAGAATTACAAGCGCAGAGAAAGTACGACTGAAACTTTCAGCTCAGCGGCGGCGGCCGAGCGCGCAACGGAACCCCTCATGTTCTGTCTCTCTCTCTCCCACTGTCGCAATGGGAATTACTTTCCGCCGTAGTTACGACTTTATTTTTGGGGATTTTGAGAAGATTTTTTTACTGAGTGTTCCTCAAGTATGTTGCTATATCCCTTGGATCCCCAATCTTGAATATGTATTACGGTTTTTATTATTTTGGCAAATATATGCGGCTATTCTGAGCAGCACGACGTGGTGGCAAAATCGCGAAGTTCCAGGCCTGGATTCACCTTAATCATACAGAAAAAGGATCGATGAACAGAGAGTTCGCAACGAACACCTCAATAATCGATCCTTTACCATAGCATTCAAATGGGGAAATATCGATAATCGATCATTCGCACCACGCCACTCAGTGGTGTCATCATGCAGGAATTGCCACTGTCTCGATATGTATTCGTTGTTTCACATAAGTTTAAATGGATGGACAGCTGGGTCGCGCTTTGCAACACTTGGAATTACTATTTTTGGATCGTTTTAAAAACAGCATGTGTGCCTTTCAATTCCCTTTATAGATAGGTGATTTTATGGATGAGCTAGGAATAGTAATATTTGAAATTGTAGCCCTACTTACGGACAACTTACGGCACTATTGACCTTACATACTATTTCAACTTTTACTACTACCAGATACAAACCATTCACCTTGAGTAGAAAATAATTGAGCAACCCGCGGATCCGCTTTTCGATGGTGAAACTACCAAACCACGTATCTCGGTTTGCGACGTCGCAGACTTCCTGTCATACTTTATTTTTTAAATGAAAAACTACTTAACGTCCAGTCTTGAAAATTTCTGTGATTTTTCCTCTTTGTGCGGAGAAAATTCTGTGAAAATTTCAAGGAATGATATATTGATTTGGTCTACTTCAAAACAATAAAATGTGAGCGTAGATTTAAAACACCGCAAACGAGATACGTGGTAGTTTCACCGTCGTTTTGTTCTTTAAGGCTCCTATTCATATTTCTTTTTCTCCTCTTTAAAACAAAACCATACAAAGAGACTTGCTTCAGAGATTAAAATAATATTTTTCATAATAAACTAAATAAATATCGACATATTATAAAGTATTCAAATTGGTTTACCCGCTTAAAAAAGACAGCGACAAACTTGCAACGTCATCGCAAATCAAGGTATGAATGTTATTTATCTCGCCGTCGGCGGTCGGTGATGAGAAAATGCACTTTCTGCCACATTAGAAAAAAAAAGTTTAAACATAGTTCTTTCAAACTATGATTAAGGACTGGTTTATTGATTTTTCATTCTAGATGGTTTCCAACACCCATGCAATTTAAACCCAAATACTGGCAATTTGGACTGCGCAAGCGCTGGAGTTTGATTTCAGCGGCTTTAAGCGTGATCTCCTGCCATCAAGTCGAATCGATACCGTTGAAGGCGCTCTGAGCAACTATTCCACCGCTAAAGTATTGCACAGTATCAGTCGAAAATGAAGGCGCACTAACGTTTGCGCATTGACTGGAATTGCGTTTACCACTGTGCAGAGAGTCCTATCGATCCTGCAGTATTCGGCTCACGTTCGATAGATTTTTGTGTACTTTGGTACTAGATGGCATTGTTTGACAGGAAACTTGAATTTCAACTCAAATTTTCGAAATTTTTGAGCTTTACAAAGTGTTTTATGGATGGCAATTGTGAGGCGCGAATGATTGACTATCGATATCTCCTCGTTTGAAGCTGTGGTAAAGAATCGATTATTAAAATGTCTATCGATCCTTTTCCATTGGTTTAAATGGCTGATTTATCGATGTATCGCAAAGTACGCCATGCCATTGGGGCTCAAGAGGCGGAACAGAGCGCACTTGACCGGAAAAATCTCGAAATTAGGACCAGTAAGGAAAAGGCAAGGTATACAGTTTTCTGGTGTTGGCTGCTGAATCTGAAAATGATGTTAGTTTTTGTGCAGCGTGCTTGTGCATAGATTTTCCGGAAATCGACTTGTCTCTGGTGAAGCTCGATTCTTCGGGAAAATTTCGATTTTTTCGAGGAAAATTGAACGGATTACGGAAACGAAGGTCGTTTTTGGAATTATCGCTGGAAATCTTACGGGAAATAGTGAACAGATTGTTTGCAACCCGACCCGTTTTTACTGACGTGTGTAAAACCCCTGGGCAGATGGGGTCTTGTCGCACGTCGCACGTTTTTTTCCGAGCCGCAAATTTGAATTTTCCCGCCCACCAGTTTGCGCGCCCTCTTCGTACGTTTCCGGCCTTCCTCGGATTTGTCCGTTGCTGTTATCAGTTTCAGCTCTCCTTAACCTAATTTCCATAATCAGTAAAATTATTCTTCATTTGTTTACGATTACGAAATCGCCTATGATTTCTATTATTCCTTAGCTTTTATCCGCCCCCCTTCATTTCTAACGTAAAGAAACTTTACTCTCCTCTGTTAGTTTCTTTCAAACCATCGCATGACATCATGCACTTTTACTTTCTGTCAACTGAACACCCGCTTTTCGTCGCCACCTATTCCTCAAGTATTTTTTGATCACTTCTTTTCGGTATTATTTTCTTCCTCAGTGAGACAGTAATTTCTTCGTTTTTTTTAATCATTAAGGTTTTTGTCACCGTCTTTTACTCTAATTTTTTCCATCAAAGTTCAAGAATACACTCGGAGAGATTCAAGATGAAAACCACAATATCCAACGAGCTACCGTCAAGTAGTTTTCCAAAAATCACTCTCAAATCTTCTGCAACATCTTTAACAAGTGCCATAATTCAATTTACAGACTGTCTCATTCTCAGAAATCACCAAATAGTCAAAGCAGACCTTGTAGTTCAAAATGGAAAAATTCTGGATCCCCAAAAATTATTCTTCAATTCCAAGAGGAAGGCTGACATTGTCATCTCTTGCAATGATGCAATTATCGCTCCTGGATTCATTGATCTCCAAATTAATGGTAAGAATGTTTATTATATTTTTTATCACATTTGGTCATAATCAATATGCACATGTGCATAAAAGACAACAATTAAAACACATCAAAACACACAAAACAAATAGGTATACAAGGCCAAGGAGAAATAAAACTAACCAGGACGTTTCGGGTCAATTATATGCCCATTCTAAACTGGAACTGAAGCTAAAAAATGTTAAAATTAAAACGAGCAAATGAGCATGCAACTGACCGAGGTAAGAATCAGTGCAAACTCCATAAAAGTGTCCATAATAATGTGCCTAAAAGACAGAATAGAAATTATGTAGGCACCTTACTAGTGAATCATAGAGTACATAGAGTCGTAATGTAATTGGGAGAGCTGGCGCCACTTTTAAGCATTTTCCATGTCCCGAATTCCGAGACTCCTGTGTGACGCCGGGTCACTTTTTCGATACATAATCGATTGTTTGCGATACACGGGTACCCGGCCATCCGATGACAACAACAACAACAACGAAGGAGATAGGAATCACCATGTATTCCACACCGCCATTTTGGATCGAAAAAGTGACCCGAACTCGGCGCACACCGGGCTCGGAACTCGTCGAGCAGAACATGGCGCCAGCTCTCCCATTTACATTACGACTCTATGTACTCTATGTAGTGAATCAGGAATAGGTAGCCTCTAATGGCCTCTGATGGAATCTGGACCATTTTAGAACTCAAGTTCAAGAGTTTTCCATGGAAATCAGGGAATCAGAAGTACGAAATGTTTTCACAAATTGTTGGAACAAATCATAGAGTACTAGTTATGTACTAACATAGGAAGCATTAGTGTTGTGAAAACTTAGATTTACAGCATTTGAATTCCACCGTTTTTTGCGTGTTTATATAGGTTAATTGGAAGAATTTTCCATAAAGCTATTGGCCATAGAATAAGTGAGTCAACAGAGTAAAGCCCCTGCATAAATGTTTCTTTACTAGAGACCCTGTTGAGTATTTTGATCAAGTTGTAAACTGCCAGTTGTTTTCTCTATAATTATCATTCTCTTATCACAGGTGGATTTGGTGTCGATTTTGCACATGATACTGAGTCTACCGAAGAATGTGTCAGGAAAGTAGCTAAAGGCATTCTTGCGCATGGTGTTACAGCATTTTGCCCGACTCTGGTAACATCTCCTCCTTCCGTTTATCACAAGGTATGTCTACAAGTTTGGTTTTTTGAAACTCCCCACCCTCAATGTGAAGAGAGAAACATTTTTACTAGCACAAAGTATAGGAAATTGCATGCTTTCGCAAATGAAACCATAAATTGATCATTCAGATCACCATTTCAGCCTCATTTTGGTGTAGTGATTGTAGCCTTGGCTCTATCATCAGGAGGTCTGGGGATCCATTCTCGGGCATGCCACTGGAGTTTAATGGCTCAAATAAAGGTTCCATGAGCTTGCTCATCAGGAGAAACTGGGGGAGGGGGGGGGATGGAGCTATTACTGAAAAGTGCAGGATTACCCCCTTGGGGGTATTCGAAGTGTACTTACAAAAAAAAAAAAATTAAATCCGATCATGATTCTCAAAAAGCAGAGCTGAAAAGTGGAAATTGCAGCACTTTCACGCACATTTTCTAGAGGATCATATGTTGCAACACACGCTTTGGTAGAGACGGGTGTTCTTTTCTTCACTGGCCAAAAGGTACAAGAGTGACAAATGCCTTTACATTCCTGCATTTCTGAGCAAAAAAGAACCAGAATTCTTCTGAGTTTTTACAGCATGTTGCATATCTTTGCGTTGTCCGACATACATACACAGTAGGGATACATGGAAAGTTAGTATACCTTCCTGAAACAAGGCATATGAGCCATTACACCGTTTTTTTAAGAAACACCTCACTTGCTTACAATAACACCTTGGCATGTCGGCCACAAGTCCATCTTTTATGAATGAAACAAAGCTAAATAAGTATTCAACGGATAGAGGCAGTTTTTTATTTATTTTTAATTTTTCTCATACTTCTGACGCTTCTCCAAACGAATTTCAACATTAACTTACGATTTTCCCAGTAATACGTTCCATCTTTTTGAAAAAGAATCCTAATTTTAGGTATTACCGAAATTATCGTTTCGTGCAGGTGACTCGGAGGGCGCCACGGTTTTGGGAGCTCACATCGAGGGTCCGTTTATCAACATCAAGAAGAAAGGGGCGCATGCTGACGAACACATCACTGAATTCTATGAGGTGAGTTGCCGAAACAATTTTGATTCTAATTACTACTGCTTAGCAAGAAAGAAAATCCTCGTCCTAACTAAATTTTTTTTTTTATTTTGGTCTGTAGTCAATTAACAAAGCAGGGTTTCAGATTGATCAGGCCCCATGTGTAGAATGCGCCTGAAAATCAGCCTTTCCTATATGTTCCAAAAATGAGGCAGCAACATCACAAGCTGGGTTAAAAAAAGTTGAAAGTCAAAAACTGTTGTTAGAAGACGACATCTTTTAATTTAATTTACCACTTGTGAGAGAGAGAGCTGAACATTTTTATATTAGATTACAAAAATTCAGTGCTGAAATGGATGGTAGTTCTTTAAACTATTACTTTTGGATAACATGGAGCAATTGCAATAAGAAACTCTAATCCAACTGTTTCATCCCCAAGTAAAACAACTTCTCTCCTTGGAAAAATGTTGGAGTTCTTGTGAAATCTGTTTAAGAGTTTGCAACCCTGTGTAATTTTGTCACCTCAGTGTCTCATAGTTATGTAATCATGTCTCCCAGCACATTTTTCCTTGATGCTTTAATTATTGCTGTCTTGTTTTTTTTACTGATAATCTTCTGAAATTAAAATAGTCGAGGATTTCAAAGTGTCATAATTATCTAATCAGTGGTTGCACTGTTGAGTGTAATTATCTATCATCATGGGCAATGTTTTCAAGAAATCTCTTTTTCATGCAACCAAAGTTCAGTGATTAGGACACAAGCTGCAAAATAAAATAAATAAATCAAATGAAATTCTGGAAATGAGAAAATACTTTTGCAAGTCTCGGTGCCCAATTATTTTGAATTTTTTGAATTTCAATGAATGCATAATGTCAATGAACTGGAAGACAAAGCTATCTTGATTTGTAAGTCTTGAAATTTTTCCTTAGATTTTATTTTTTTCAGAGTCCCACCTAAAACTCAAGCTAATTGAGATAACTCTTCTTGTAGTTTCACCATGATTCATTTAAAATTTATCTTTATCATCTTTGCATACTCCCTCACTGGCTGTATCTTGTCGTTTTTAATATGTTTCGCTGAATCATTTTCAGGGATTCGAATCCGTCAAAAAAATGTACGGCAGTCTAGAGAATGTACGAATCGTCACTTTGGCTCCAGAACTCGAGAATTCCGGATCAGTGATAGAAAAATTTGTCTTGGAAAAGATTGTTGTATCTCTTGGTAAGTTTGTAACTGGTGTCCTTGAAAAGTATTTTTACTTTGAGTCAGAGCAATCATTATTATCAATGTTACATCGGTGGTTGCCTACATTAAATCCGAAGCCTGTTGACTGCAGAGAGCAGTTTTATGTGGATAAAATTCAGCAAGACATAACCACTTACTTGGAAGTTTTGGAAAAAAAATGTATTGCAATAATTTGAAACCGGTAATATAGGTCATACATGGACCTACATGAGATACTAACAGATGCCTCCATTTCGCACACCCAGCAAAATCAAGAAGCACTGGCAGAGAAGACTTCATTAGAGCAACACAATAGGTTGATGATTTTTATTAAAAAATATCCTGATCTAGATAGTTAGCCTCAGTAACGACTATTTAATCGAAAGTATATTCAACTTGTGTGTTACTAAAAATTGCCTGTAATAAAATATTTGGACGGCGTAAGTCTGCAACCATGTATCTCGTTTGCGGTGTTTGAAAATCTCTGCCTGTGTATTATTTTTGAAAGGAGAACAAATTGACATCACTCCTTGAAGTTTTTGCAGAATATTCTTCGCACAGAGAAATAAAAATCACGGCGATTTTAAAGAATTGCCATTACATATTTTTTCGGTTCAAAAATAAAATATGACGGGAAGTCTACGGCGTCGCAAACCGAAACACATGGTTGCGGACTTACACCGTCGATTTACTCTGTCAATGCAAGGTCATTTAAATTAAAATGTCATTAAAAATACAATAAATAGGTTTGTACTTTGTAGACTCGTATTCTAATGAAATGGACGTTGCAAAATTAAAGACTGTACTTTTATTTTGCTTCTTTGCCTTTTTCATCCTTTAAATGTTTTTCAAATTATCTATTAACCATACATTCAAACTATCCATTAATTTTTGTTCATTTCAGGACATTCCATGGCAGACTATGAAATCGGAGAGTTAGCTATGAAAAGAGGGGCAACCCTTATAACGCATTTATTCAATGCAATGCAACCAGTAAGTCTGAGTTATTTTTCACTTCTCAATATTTTTAATTTGCCGCTCATTTGATCTTGTGTAGTTAAACAAATCAATTTTTTAGCCTTCCTCAAAATAGGAAAAAAAACAAATCTTTTACAAATGAAAATGAACTTTATTTACTCTGTGAAACGTATCAACTACTGACTTATGGATGGTGAATTTCAAAAGAAATTAGAATCAAGAGAAGCTATTTTATTTTATTTAAAAAAAAAGTGGACATGATTTAACAATCAGTCGCAAAGATTTGCTTTTAGAGATGAAAATTGCCCAGGTGCCCTCGGTGTTTTTGAAATATAGACTAACGTTCAATAAAAATTGTTAATGTCAATCATTTGTTGGAAAACAAGATTCTTATCTAGAATCGACCCCTAACATTCAATGCAATTTTTTTTTATTACAAAAAATTGTCATCCGAAAAAAATCAATTTGAAATTGTGATCGCTAGTCAACTAAGGTTTATTAAAGAGGGCTCAAATTAATCGAAATTTTCTTTGCTTTCCAGTTCCATCACAGAGATCCCGGTTTAGTCGGCTTGCTAAAAGCAGGGAGGCCCATTTTTTATGGTATCATATCGGATGGTGTTCATACTCACCCATCAGCTCTGAGAATCGCTCACTGTACTCATCCAGAAGGTAAATCTTCTGCAGCCTAAAATTCTAGTGAAAGAAACCTCTTTTGGCCCCAATAGTTCTGATGGGTGTTTTGCACAGAGAAGCAAACAGAATTTTGAGAAGTAAAATGGCGCAAAAATCGCGATTAAGAAAGTTAAATCCTTAAGTTAACTTAAGTTCTGCCATTAACTTACAATGTGGAAGTAACAGAATGTTAAATTTTTTTATTTTTTTTTATTATTATTATTAATTATAAGATGTATAACCACTCCACTAGGGGGTGTCAATTACAATTGATTTAACTTTACCTAACTGCTAGCTCTTAACTCAGTGGTCTTAAACTATGTTTTAACAATAATGTTAAAATAGATCTTGGTTTTTTGTTTCTTACAATTTGTCTATTCTGTATGATCTGTTTTCAAAGTTCCTGCATCTGCAAGAACGTTTTCCTTTGTTGTTGGCAAGTAGGCCTGCCAAGATAGAAATTTAAGGAGACATAATCTAAATACAAAGCAATCCCGTAACTACTATCAATCTCTCTCACGTGAGATTTACGTTTGTCCAATGCATTTGTTTTCTCCTTTTATGGAACAAAGGCAAACATAAAAGCTGTCGCTGTTTGGGTTTCCCTTTAAATTTGATTGGTTTTCTGAGGTTACATTGATTTTATTTGCTTTTTGGTGCTCTTAACTGGAGGAACAAAAAGTGGCAGTGAGATTAGGTCTTCAGATTTTTCAGAAAATCTAAGGTGTCCTGCTACCTGAAAAACCGAGAATGCAGGGAAATGTCAGGAAATTTTTTTTGTATCTGGAAAATCAGGGAAAACGTCTGAGAATCCGCAAATATTCGGCATGTCAGGGAATTTTATTCTGCAAGCAATTTTTGTGCCTGAGAAATGTCAGGGAAATCAAAAAACACAGATTTTTTTTTTAATTGATGATGAATCAAGTTTCAGAAAAATGAAATCTATACCAAAATTTCTGCTGATTGTCTTTTACATTTTAAAAATGAGTCAAACATATCTCGCGTAAGTTTAGACTTCACATATTTTGCCATATTGATTACATTATATTTCTGAAACATGAAGCACTTCTTACTTATATCTAATCAGTTCAACTGTGTCGAAAAATTAGGAATATTTCTCTTTTTTGTCAGGGAATTATTTTTTCCATCTGTCAGGGAATTTTAAATTTTTCCTCGGTTTTTCAGCCGTTTTAGTTAGGAAAATCAGAGAAATGTCAAAGAATGTTAGTTTTAAAAATTGCCAGACACCTTGGAAATTGACTTTGGAAAATACTTAAATGCCTTGTACATAATAGCAGGGAAGAGTTCTGTAGGACGCCGTTCTGTTGTGAGGGGGTGATGGCAGCGCATTCTCGCGTTGGACCCTAGTAAACTCAGAGGTTCCTTCCCCTTGAACCTCGACTCTTCCATCGCCCGCTCCAAAAGTGAGGTTAAGCTGATGATTGAAAAATAACACACAAGGCAGCTGAATTCTTGAAAAATAAGTATATTTTTGGCGTTTTCCGATCCCTTCCATCCCGGGAGGGCCTGCCGCAGGAGTCTAGAGGGTGAAAAATTCGATTTTTGGCAGATATTCGTGATCCTAAGGATTTTTGTACAGTCTGACTACTGATAATAGCAGTGAGTTGCAAGGGTCCTACACGAGATAGCAGCACTAATACCTGCTCACGAATTTTTACATTAGCTCCTACGGGAGTCCAGGGTCGTATAGAACTGGTCCCTGATAATGGTATGTGCTTTCTTCTGCTTCAAATCATGTAAACAATTACATGCTTGGAATGCATATTTTTTTATTTGTTGATTGTTTCTCTACATAAGATTGGTAAAGTAGTACCCGCTGTAATTCTAGGTCAATCTTGTTTCTTATTTGGGACCCACTGCAGCAGCATAATTAGTTCCCTTTCCTCTTAATAGTAAGTTTGAGGTTTTAGTGTTTTTTTTTTAAAGCAATATAAATAAAATTTTTGGAAAACTAATGCTTGCTTTAAAATGTTAGGATTAGTTTTGGTGACGGATGCAGTTTCTGCAATGGGACTGGAAGAAGGCGAACATCATATCGGTGAAAAATGCATTGCAATTAAAGGCAAAGAAGCAACAATTGCTGGTACAAACACGCTCTGCGGAAGTATAGCAACCATGGACGAATGCGTTAGATTTTTCAAAGAAGCCACAGGTAAGTAAGTGATTTGATTAATTCAGCTCCTTGATTCATAGGTAGTTCCTTTTAGCATAAATACATAGTGTGTTCAAAAAGTTTTGCACACTTCCGGATTTTGAGCGAACGAAAGCAGCTATCGATTTTCGGTTTATGTGTGCTTAAAGTGGACGTAATTACCAATAAAACAAGACCAAGAACAACTCTCTAGCTTAAAAAATGACAGAGATACAGGGTTTTGAAAATAACATGTAGCGTGACCTTCTCCAGGATTTTTAGCTACAAATATGTTTATCAAGGGAAAAAAAGTTGAATGAAAATTGGGTGTTTTTATTGAAAAAACTTACAAAATCTTACGGAAATTGGCGAACTTCAAGTTTCTTCATCGGATGACTCAACATTCGGCTGTTTTTCGAAGTATTTTCCACCACTTTGAACACAAAGCTTCAGCCGTTCTGCCCACTTCACAAGGATCGTCTTTTCGAAGTCCTCTTGACGGAGGGTTTTGAAGCATATTTGAACAGCGGTTTTGATCTAGGCTTTGGAATGGCTCTTTCCTGAGTTAAAAAAATTTCTGAGAGGCACACGGTTTGATTCCATAGCCTAGATCAAAACCGCTGTTCGAAAATGCTTCAAAACCCTCCGTCAAAAAGACTTCGAAAAGACGATCCTTGTGAAGTGGGCAGAACGGCTGAAGCTTTGTGTTCAAAGTGGTGGAAAATACTTCGAAAAACAGCCGAATGTTGAGTCATCCGTGTCATCTGATGAAGAAACTTGAAGTTCGCCAATTTCCGTAAGATTTTGTAAGTTTTTTCAATAAAAACACTCAATTCTCATTTAACTTTTTTTCCCTTGATAAACATATTTGTAGCTAAAAATCCTGGAGGCGGTCTTGCTACATGTCATTTTCAAAACCCTGTATCTCTGTCATTTTTTAAGCTAGATAGTTGTTCTTGGTCTTGTTTTATTCGTAATTACGTCTACTTTAAGTACACATAAACCGCAAATTAATAGCTGCTTTCGTTCGCTCAAAATCTGGAAGTGTGCAAAACTTTTTAACACCCTATGCATTTTTGTCTTGGACCATTTTTGGGCCATCATTAAAGAGATTTCTTCTTTTCCCTCTAGCCGAAGTTTGCAACATACCCACTCTGCCGTGCTGAGATAGAACACTGTATAAGTCCACAGACATTGCCAAATTTTCTCTCATTAAGTACGAGTTTTCAGGGATATCTGTGAATGTCTTTCCATTAACTTTTCTGAGAATTTTATTCGCAATCAGATCTAAATTATCAGAAAATATTCATTACTCTATAAAAATAAGCATTTTATTGGAGGAAAATTGGCAGTGCTCCAATGTTCTTACAGCATATTTCCTCAGCTCGGCAGTATTGAGAGATGAAAAAAAAATTGGTTCCAAATTTCTGAGCAGCACTTTCCATCATTTCATTTTCTCTTTCAGGTTGTTCATTGGAAGAAGCCCTGGAGGCTGCTACACTGCATCCAGCTCAAGTGTTAGGAATCGATAAAACCAAAGGCACCCTTAACTTTGGTGCGGATGCGGATTTCATCATCTTACATCCGAAGAGTTTGCAGATTCATTCAACGTGGATTGACGGCCGTCTTGTTCACAGCAATCCAGAGGTATCACTGTAGGAGGGAAATACGCAAGACCCCTACTAACAGTATTCCGGCTTCTATGAATAGCTATACTTCGTAAGGGATGGGGACATTCAGAATGGCATGGTCACCAAGATTTAGAAGTTAAGTAAAACATTTGCTCTGAATTTACATGGATTTCTGAAAAAGGAAACTCCCAAATTTTCCTCTTTCATCGAATATTTGGCAACAAGTATAAAGTATCGTTGCTGTCTGCAAATCGAAATATTTTTCAGCATATTATGACTCAGATTTGAGCTCTTCCACAGAACTGGTAAAATACCGAAATTCTCCAATGAGCCAGTGGCACGCAAAGAAAAAGCCTTTTTACTTTCTCGCTCCCCTAGTTTCTTAAAGTGAGGGTGAACTGAGCTTGTAGGAATTTTTTAGGATTTCTTAAACCCTGAATATATGGCGAAGAAACCCCGTTTTGGAAATGCCAAAAGTGGGACCTGGTTGAAACGATGTTTTTTGCAGGCACAGATGACGTAGCCAGACGGGGGAAAGGGCGTTTGCTGATTGGCTGAAGTCTGATTCAGGCCTTGCCTTGCTATGTCAACTTGACTGTTGGCCTTTGATTTGCTTTTTCTCCTCTCAGTTATGTTTTTTTTTTTAAATTTTTTTTTACTTAAAACTTTGTAAATTAAATATTTGAGTCAAACACTGTGAATATTTCTTGCCACTACCCCAGCAATCAGGAAAGCTCATAAGCTTTCCGAGTTTGCCTGAAAATTTAGGAAAAGTCCTAATCGAAAAAGTTGGGAGATTTCACTACAAAAAATTTGAAATTAGGAAAATTTTGCGTTGCTTTAAAAACCATGAGCTCTTTAACATTTTTCCCAAAAAATTTGGGAAAAAAGGGAACGGTGAATTTTGCAACACATTTGTTATAAACCTTCCTCAGTGCCTAATCGCCCCATTTCTTGACAGACAATGTAATAGACTCTAGTAAAAAATTGCATAGTCATGAATTTGATTCTAAGCTACGACATGTTTACTCTTACTCAATGTATGGAGCTGATTGGAAAAACTTAGCCTTGGAAACGTGAGACTGACATTTCAGCTATAGTTATTTACAATGTTTGGAATTAAAATGCAATCTTAAGATTATTTCAAATCACCTGGTAATTAATATTTTTTTAAAAAGAAATAAGTCGCTTTCTTTTTTTGAAAATGTAAATCAATCTGATTGGCATTGAGGGTTAAATTAATGCATTTAAGCTGGAACTATTCCTATAGATTTTTACAGGGAATTTACATGTTTTTTCAAAGTCATCTACGATTTTCACCTTGCTACATTTTATTCACTTTTTATACGTTCCATGTTTCTAAAATAAAATTGATGAATTATTTTCCTGTGTTTTTGCCAAAAGAAATCAATGGCAGGGAAACATCTGTAAAAGTATCTATCTGCGCAATAAAGACAAAATTGCAGTTTAGTCAGTTTTAAAGTTCAACATGTAGATAAAAATAGACGCACAGGAAGTAACTTATTCTACCTGGCTGAATACTTTTTTCTACTTCCAGCTTGTTTTTTATCGTTTTAATTGTAAAGACTTTTTATGTATCCATGTTAATTATTTTGTTATTAAATATTACTTAAACTAACACTCATAACTGGTTTTGTTTCTTTTGACTTTTTTTTTTTTTTTTCATTTTGTTTTATTATTAAACGGAATGGTTCGTTTGTGAGTTGAATCTTTACAGCAAACTTGCTGCACTGAACTTAAGGTGGTTCCAACCATAGGTCGTCACCTCCTATGATGTCATAAGTTTCAGGCAAATAAGAAAAGTTCTGTTCATAATTTCTTTTTCAAGTCTCATGTTTCAGTCAAAAAAGCTGTTCTGAGCTTCTTCGGGGCTCAAAAAAACTTAAAACATGTAAATTTACATGAAAAGCATCTATTCTCAAATAAATTCCTGAGCTCACAACAGTTCTTGTGAAAAGGTATCAAGAAAACACAACTATTCCAAAAATAAAAAAATCGATTAATTTATTCTCAGTCATATTTGATAACACGATTATGTACAAAGAAATATATGGCCTGAAGAAACACTTAGCGTTAACTACTCAAACAAAGTAAATGATATATAGGTATGTACTAAAGATGAGATGCATTTTAGGAGATAGGAAACTTGTAGAACGATCTGAAGAGGTAAACTTTCTTACTCTACAAGTTTCGTCTACATTCAACAAAAAGATAAATCAGACATTGGGAGATTGAGTAAAAGAAAGAAACTAATGAGAGGTAAGCAATCGATAATTGCAAAGATAATTGGCTCTTCAAAAAAACAAAGGTTATACAAAAAGCTGCTTAAAATATCTTACGTAGGAAATATTGGTTGATAAATCACTTGTTACCACATCTAAACAGGATACAGGTTGCTGTACTACAAAAAAAACATGAGGCTTTGCCAAATATCTGTTGATAAACCCACATTCTCTCGATAATTTTTTTTTTTTTTTTTTTTTTTTTCTAAAATTACACAGAATAACTTCCAAAATTTAATTATGGTGTTAAACCTAGAAGCAAAATTTCCATAACTTATCATGGCAATAAATATTTTATAAGAAAAAATTCAACAGTATTCAAAAATTTTTCGTAGCACAGCAGTCAGCAGTATGGAGGCTCTCACAAACCTACAGTTTTTTAGTATCTGTACAAACAATATTCACTTCACCATCTTAAAATGATCTAAATCCTTGGTAAATGTGGCAAAAAAAGTGCCTCTTTGTTTTCTGAGCATAAGAAACATGATATCAGAATATCACTTTGCTTACCCTCCTAACCTATCAGGTTTTACAAAAACAAAGTTCAATGGTATATGTAAAATATTTGTACAGCAAGTGAAAAAATATATTGAGAATTATTTTTCAATACATCAAGAATCGAGAAAGAAATCATTAGAGATGAAAATTCTCACAGTTGATAAATGTACTTGACACATTCAATCCTACGAGTTCATCAGTTTTCAAGACCCCGGTTCACTTTTGCAAAGGGACAGTAATGCTAGGCCTCATCCTTTTCTTTGTGAAAAAAAGGTTCTTTGTAAGTTTTTAGTTTCCCCACGAGATTGCAGTTCTTGATCTTGAAACGTAGACATAAAAATATACAGTTTTAAGTAAAAAAGAAAAATAGCTACATAGTGTAAGAAGCTTATTTGTGTTGATATAATTCTCTTTGCTTTATGACCACTGGGAAAATAATTGTAATTTTTGAAAGATCTAATTACCTAGCCAAAATTTTTTGCACCCTGTGATGCTGAAAGAAACTATTTCCGATGAGTAAAATTGACGATCCACTCACTTTACAGAAAAAAATAAACGGATATAATGATGTATGAAATTCTTTGAATTCTTTAGAAATTAGGACTGACAGCGAAGCAACTTTATTGATCATTTTTTAAGTACATAGGTAATCAAACTTCAGTCTGCAAAAGCTTAGTCAAAAGATAGTAAACAGAAAAGTAAAAAATCTTAATTCTTTTTAGTTTGAGGTTATTAAGCAAGCTTTTCTGAGTGGAGTTTCTGAGAAGTTCATTGTGACAAGCAAATTAATTATTTGATTGATGGTTTCATATGCCAAGTAATGCTAGAGATAATCTGTCGTTTTAGCAAAATTTCTCTTCCATCATTAATCCAATAATAAATAAATAAAGGGGAAAAAACGTTTATTTATTTAAGTTATTCTGAATATTGTAACGAATCAGGACTGACGACAACCACATAAGTCATCATTTTGAGAGAGGATCCGATTTTAGTCAGTGGTAACATTTTTCAATGACAGTAAATAGGAAAAAGAGAGAAATCTTATGGTAAAAAAAATTTGGGGGGAAAGGAGACTTAGCTATGGAGGAAGATGATGTCATCCGCGATGATGGAGCACAAATTGACTGTGCTCCCACTTTCCGTGGTCATGGACCCATAAGATATACGACCCGCAACATAGACTCTTTTGCCTTTCTGCAGATAATCGTAGACAGTGTCTCGCAGTTTCGGCCGAAAAACAGCGATTCTATGCCACTCCGTTTTTTGGGTGATCTCACCTGTGAAAGAAAAATAATTTTTGATACAAATGCAACTTTTTGTATCAGATGTAACTTTTGACACTAGACTGACGTCAAGATTAATCTCATCTTAACAGTTTTTTTTTTCAACGTGAGGCTTGACTCCTATGAAATTGAAACTGTCTAATGGAATTAGATACCTATAGTCTTTAGAGATGACTGAACTTGCATTTCCAGGTCCATTACACTGAGATACTTCTATGTACAGCTTTGACTTTTAATTTTTCTTCAGAGAAAATTCAGAGAAGTGGAGGAAAAAATACCTCTCCTCAAAATTTTGAAAAATCACCTAAAAGCAGGCATGCAAAACATTATGATGAAACACAGATGAAAACACTATTTTCTTTAACTTTTCTTTTTTGTGCAAAAAATCACGAAAAAGAAGAATAGTGAGACTGCGACTAATTTCTCCTTTGAAGCATTTCCTTACAACGCCTACATCTAGCTGTTTAAGTGATGTTCTAAAATATGCAGAGCTGGTTATCACGAAACAAATCTTAAGTTTTCTGTTTTTTTAACTTGAGATAGCCTCATTTTGGACCTAAAAATTTACGAAAAACTAACACAACGGCAAATGGTGCGGGCATTATTCCTTCACTTGTTCTCCCTTGTGAGGCAGTATTTCTGCCACCAAGTTGACAACTGAGACTTGCAGTGATGAAGAAAATTTTTGGCTTTCCCATCTTTTAAGTAGGCCTTTCTATGTTGAAAACCCCTTTTCTATCTTAAAACAATTTCACTTGGCTCCTAATTAACAATATGCCACAGTTTTTCCAAAAACATGCGATTTTAAAAAGGATGCCAGTTGCTTTCTTCCTCTCCAAGACTTCGATTAACCACCTTCCCACTTAAAATACTTGTTTGTAGAGCCTCCCTATTTTTCCTAAAGTTTTTGTAGTAGTGCTTGAGACCTAACAAACCCTTAATTGAAAAGTTCCTACACTCTTGTTTTTAATTTTTTTTCTCCATACTAAAGTAATAAAAAAAGATGTGGTGAACAAACCTGCACTGTTTCTGTAACTGGTGTCTGTGGCGAGTTGGAAAGTCACTACAGGGTGCTCTTCACTGCCTCGTTTCTCAGGTTCAGCACCTACACGACCGAGCAGTCTAACTTCATTGATTGCTGAATTTGAAAAAAAGAGAGACTGATTAGCATACAAATCTCATACAAAAGGAACTTCCATTACTAGTTTTCAATGAGAAGAGAGAAGAGAGAGAGAGTTTCAGAGAGAATTGAACGCAATTTGACGAAAGAAATCTATCTGCACTGGAAGTTTTGAGAAAAGACACGTGTGGAACAGTTCAAGACAACTGATAAAAACATCTTAGATAGAAACGCATTTACAATGAGTCTGTTGCAAACTTTTACTGGAGTAAAAATAAGAGTTGCTACTCATAGACCTTGTCTCCACGGGACGTTCTCATAGGATTTGTCCCAAGTTCGAATCGCAGGAAGGAAACTTCTGGGATTTTTCCCTGTTACCGTCTCCACGGGACGGGGCTCATACGGTCCTGCGACTAGTTTGCGCGGGAAGATAAATTAGTTAAAGTCGATTATTTAACCGGGATTAAAATAATAATTGCACTCAATTGACGATTAGACACATTATTTTAACTAAAAAAACATTAACAACGGAGTAATGAATAAAATATCGCACAGTTCGTTTTCACTTCTTCTTCCTCTCCCCGTGAGTCCTAGGGGTAAAGGACCATACTTGGTACCGGGAAAAATATTGATTAACTCAATATTTTTCCCAACTTCGTAAGTGAGATTTTTCCCTGGGACAAATCCCGTGAAACGGCCCGTGGAGACAAGGCCATAGAAAGTGTCTCAAAAATCACGATGAGCACATTGGCAAAGTCTGAAATGCAGTCCTTACTTCACAGTTTGCATAAGAAAGTGTTTAATAGAGCTTCCCGCTTTAAAAACGATACCACAACACAGGTGAACATTTCATTAAAGGAGTCATTCCATCCAACCCCTGCTCACAAAGATACTACGCAATGTTCAACATAGCCGAAGCCAATCCGCCTATACACATGTGACGGTGTGATTATTCTAACCACCTGATAACAATCGGCGTGTTTACATTCACGTTTGTTCTTCTCAAATTGATAGATATCTGCCTTGATTGACCTCGTGCTCTCCTCAACTTGCCCGCGGAAGCATCAGCCATGTTGAGCAGGGATTGAATGGGACGACTCCTCCAACGAAATGTTCACCTGTGCTATAGTATCCTTTTTGAAGCAGGACACTTAAAAAACGCAATTTTCTCACGCAGATCGTGAAGTTAGGAGTGCATTTCAGAGTTTCGATGCGCTCATTGTGATTTTTGAGACACTTCCTCTCCGAAACAACTCTTATTTTTGATCTTGCAAAAGTTTGCAGCAGGCCCATTGTAAGAGACAAGCAACTTGCACTTCGGTACTGGTAAGAATAGTAGTAGAGATTCTGGAACATAACAACTTCAAGTGCCTTTCTTACACCCAAGGTGCGCCTCCATAGTCCAGACGTATGGTAGCTAAAAATGAGGCTACCTGGAATTTCGGGTACACAACGATTTATTTCGCTAACTTTATGTTATTTGGGTCGCTGAATCCGAATCTGAAGTTTCCTACCGCGTATCTGGTGAGCATTTTCCGCTATTTTGAAAAAATGACCTGAAAAGGCCTTTTTTTGCGGTTTTCTTGATATAGCGGCTACGCATGAGAAAAAGTCCCGGATTTAGTTGATATTTTGAATAGCTGACAGAATTTGGAATAAAATGCTATATGAATATGCTAGGTGTGCTTAAAAATTGAGAAACCTCGGATCTCGGAACTTTGGAACGCTTCGGAACTTGGCTGACCGCGGCGAGCCGGATCGCGCGTTGACGGGTGCGCCGCGAAAACGTGAATGGGCGCGATGTTCACGATGCTGTATCTTCCTCAATTTTTAAGCAAACCTAGCATATGTGCACATCATTTTCTTCCAAATTATGTCAGCTATTGAAAACATTAACTAAATCCGGGACTTTTTCTCATGCGTAGCTGCTATATCAAAAAAACCGCAAAAAAAGGTCTTTTCAGGTCATATTTTCAAAATAGCGGAAAATGCTCACCAGATACGCGGTAGGAAACTTCAGATTCAGATTCAGCGATCAAAAAACATAAAGTAAGCCATAAAAACCCCTGTGTACCCAAAATTCCAGGTAGACTTACCAGGCGCCTGGACTACAAGTATTTTAGTGCCTGATTAAGCTCATGTTCACTTTACAGAACATAAAATTTTTATCCTTTGCAATAGAAATGATTAATAATATCATCCAGCTCTCTTGCTCTACAATTCTATTCATCTATCATATTTATTGTAATTGTGTGCGTAGAACAGCCTTTCCTGCTCTAATCCACTGGTAGAATTGAATTAAAGTGTGATTAAGTCTGACTTACACTTTTCCACATTAGATCCAACTGGACTACAGAAAGAGCGCACGAATTGGTTTCTAAAACAGGGTCTCCCCTTTAAGATGAGGTTATACACCTGAGAACACAACAAAAGTACAAGATGATACTTGATAGATTATCGAGAATGAAGGAGATTTTCTAGAAAGTTACTTATTAACAGTCCTTTTCATAAATATTGAAAGACAAAGAGGGCCGGGATTAGAAATACCGAGGGAAATTGATCAATATTCCCGGGTGTCAAATGTTTGGTACATATTATAAAACACTGAATATTAACGTTCCTACAAGTATTGTCAATTTGCAACACTCAATATAAGTTAAAAAATGCAAATTCAGCATGCAAGGAGAAAAGGCAGTTAATACAAACTCCTGACTTGAATTGATACCATTTGAATGCTGGCTGAATCAAAATTTGAGAATCACAGATCAATACCCATATTCTAGACTGATGGGTAATAAGTATTGTAGTGGGAACGCTAGGGGGAAAAAACAGAACCACATTTTTCGGGTAATTTTCACGGTTTATTCTATAGCTGATCATACAGAGGCTGGACCGGGTTGTCTCGGGTCTTCACACCTCACACCGACTAACTCCGCACGAGCAGTTTCCGCAAGCTTTTATGCCAACACCCGAAGTTTCCGTGCCCAACTCCGACTTGCGAAACGCCAGAAGCCAGGGTCACTCTTGCCGCAAGCTCCGCGCATGGACATAAACAATCGTGTCTCAACAACTCGCATCCAACACGCCTGACCCTGCCACTAACATGGGAAGCCGCCATTTCTCATGACTTGCCATGTCCCCAAACCAGCTTCCTCCAAGTGGATTGGTAAAGACCTCGCGAGTTTTTAACCGATTTCACTGCAGTGTTGCGCTTGAGGAGTAGATCTAACAGACGGTCGACTCAGACATTGGGTGATGGCAAAGATTTTTCGTAAATGGCTGCCTCATTGCACAATAAAATGGTACGCTACAAATGGATTTAGGTCAGGAAACCACGACTTTACTCCATTAATTTCTGATTTCTATTAGGAGACAAGAAGAGGGGAATGATAAGATCAACACAAAGATCGACATAACCCTGGGGTTCCACATGCCATGCAGGAATCATGGAAAAAGTCTCTTGAGTGGGGAGACTTCGACTGGGTTCAAACTTACCGTCTGACTGAACATATTCAAAGATGAAAAGAAGTACCCTGACCGAAAATGCACGTGAAATGGGAAAGAAGCTCAGAAAATTCTGCAAGATAACAAGAAGGAAGCCGAAAAAAATTTAAACTAACGACTACTAACCATGACTGATGACTAACCTAACCAAAACAAACACACGAGCACGTGATACCAGTGTTGGTAGAAGTTGAAGGAGGGGGATGAATTGTCCAAGACCAATCCACACAGGTCAGTCATTCCCGAGGACGAATTTTGGTATTCTACTGCGCAGTGACGTAGTATTGAGTGCATACAATGTATTTCTTATGGGTGCACTCAATAGTACGTCACAATGAGTGCTGCGAGTTAGGGCCGGGCGGGGGAGTGGATTTCAAAAAAGCTGCGCAATGACCATAATGACTGACCTGTGTGGATTGGTCCAATGGTCTTGGAATTGTCTCTGGGGATGAAGGAGGTGTCGCCGTGTCGGGCATCTTGGATTTTTTTGATGACGTACGTACGTAAGGTTTACGGGAGGCGAACTTACGAACTTTCGCCCTTTTTTCGCTTTCTTTGTGAGTGGCCGTGTGAAACAAAAAAACATTCCATATGTCCTGAATTTTCTGTATATTTATTTTCTCTTTACTGTATTTTAGGGCAACGGCTGTGACGACTGCATGCTAATTGAAAATCTAGTGAACAAGTGTTAATAATCTTGAAAAGAATTTTCTATTATTTAGGTAAGCGTCTGCTGACTGTCTTCCATTCATCTGCTAAGTACTGCTAACTGTCCGTCATCACTGAATCTCCAGTATTTTTTGTTGTCTTGTATCAACAGTCTTATTGCGCTGCATTTCACTACCGTATACTTGTTCAACTTGTCTACACTATCTGCTCATTACTCTCATCTCCCCCGCACTCCTTGTTTTCCGCTAAGGTTAGTCTTGGAGCTGTTCTCAATATATTCAATACTGAAAATTAGATTCGCAATTGGACGTATTTATGCTGAATGGAACTGTGTGCAAAAGGGAAGATGGGGCATGTTCAAGCTAGCTGCACAAGAAACAATGTAAAAGTGTTTATCGACAGTGAAAGTCGGCAATCACATAACTCGGTTTGCGACGTCGCAGACTTCCTGTCATACTTTATTTTTTAAATGGAAAACTACTCAACGGCAATTCTTTAAAACTGTCACGATTTTTCTTCTCAATGCGAAGAAAATTCTGCAAAAACTTCAAGAAATAATATCAATTTGTTCTCCTTTAAAAAAATGACGTAGAGGCGGAGATTTTCAGACACCGCAAACGAGTTATGTGATTGCCGACTTTCACCGTCGATATAGTTCTCTTTGAGAAAATAGTGAAGCGGGATTTGACATTGAATCAAAAGGAACTGAGCACTAACTTGTAAGTCGGTGACAAGAGCCTTGTGGACAGGTCTCTTAAGTTACTTAAAGACTGACAACAGAGTCGTTTTTGTGCATGTCGGGCCCTGTCCTCATCGCTGACGTCACAGGCGCCTTTAAATTCCCATCCATTCTTATGGCCTGAGTACTAACAAGCACAATCACGAGTAGTCACGCACACAAGAGTATGTTCAATTTATTCTCTTATGCATTGCAAATGATTGAGTTGCGAAGAAGGGGCATTGTTTCTTGACTCATAGGTTGCAATTCTTTTCTTTCAGCTTTCTCCTTTCAAGACTTTTTTTGGGGCGTGAATTTCGAAACCGGTAAGGAATGGGCTTGGAGCAGAGTAACCAAGGAGGAAGCAGCCACGGTGCTAAAAGCAGTGCAAACAAAGCAGATCGTCTGCGCCGTGGAAAATCAGTTCCCGAACAGAGGTGGAGCGGCGATGCTGGAACTCCTGATCAACGGCCCGGAAGTGCCTCCCCTGGTCATAGCATTTGCAGTGATTCAGATCTGCCTTACATATCGTACACCGTCAGTCGACCAATTGGCGGTAAGTGATTGATAGTTGCTTGTTAGTCCATAACTTTTATTGTCAAAATCAGTTGAACACTGCACCCAGTGTTCGAAACTCACCTTTGAGTTTCAGGAACCATGGGGCCCATCAACCTGATTTATAAGGCCATTGAAGATTTTTCAGGGGCCAAATTGACTTTTTGCCTCCATATCAAGGCGTATTTAGTGAAAAGTCAGAATCCAATGCTGTGCATTGAAATTTCAAAGAATCACTCAGCAGAAAAATTAGGATTTTGGGGGGGGGGGGAGTTTTTGGGGACACATTGACGCAAAGCCTTCATTTATTGGGCGCCATGACCGCATTCTTAGGCGCGTTAGTTAGAGTTTCGAACACTGTCTGGACCACAAGACAGGGTATAAATTAAAGCAGGGCAAGATATCTTTTCTCATCAGAATTTCTCAAATGATGCACTAAACATGTCATTAAAGTCAAACATTAACCGGCAAGTCTGTGATAAGTCTTTTTAATCTAGGGGTGCATATTACTCTAGGCCTCCACAATTTTTTGCAATGAGCTGGGTTTTCACATTAAGGTAGGGATGTCGATACTCGAGGTAGTAAGTATCGATACTGGTATTGACTAAGCATCGATACCAATATTGAGCATCGAGCTAAAGTAGGTATGTATTTCAACTATAACGATTCAAAAACTTTAATCGTATTTGATTCGTTTCTTGATTGAAGAAAATTGAAAAACGAGAGTAACGCGTCAAAACTTTCTATGATTTTTATTTTTAAATCATTTCAGAAAATTTCCGGAAAACCTTCCAAAATCTACAGGAAGCTTCGTAAAACACATCGATTAAAAATAAAACATCAGGAGATGTGTGCAACGTTACAATCGGAGATAAATACGCTTCGATTCGCGCGCATCCGTCAGTATTTCGGTTCAGCCACGGCAGGCGCAATGATGCAACTATTCGACCACGGATGTAGGCATTTTGCAGCCAGCCGGAATGAAGGCGCGTCAAACTGCGAAGATCACGCAGCCGCGTTCCCTTCCCTGGCAGTCGCAACGCTGAAATCGCCGCAAACCTAAGAATACGCGTCATTATTTTCACTTTTTGCCCTGTTTTACTATATTTAAATTGAAATATGTATTTAAACTATACCGATCCAAAAACTTTAATCGTATTTGATTCATTTTTTGATTGAAGAAAATTGAAAAACGAGAGTAACGCGTCGAAACTTTCTATGATTTTTATTTTTAAATTATTTCAGAAAATTTCCGGAAAACCTTCAGAAAACTACAGGAAGCTTCGTAAAACACATCGATTAAAAATAAAATATCAGTACATGTGTGCAACGTTACAATCGGAGATAAATAAGGTTCTATTTGCGCGCATCCGTCGGTATATCGGTTTAGCAACGGCAGGCGAAATGATACAAGTATTCGACCACGGATGTAGGCATGTTGCAGCCAGCCGGATTGAAGGCGCGTCAAACTGCGAAGATCTCGCAGCCGCGTTCCCTTCCCTGGCAGTCGCAACGGTGAAATCGCCGCAAACCTAAGAATACGCGTCATTCTTTTCACTTTTTGCCCTGTTTTACTATATTTAACTTGAAATATGTATTTCACCTATACCGATTCAAAAACTTTAATCGTATTTGATTCGTTTTTTGATTGAAGAAAATAGAAAAACGAGAGTAACGCGTCGAAACTTTCTATGATTTTTATTTTTAAATCATTTCAGAAAATTTCCCGAAAACCTTCAGAAAACTACAGGAAGCTTCGTAAAACACACCGATTGAAAATAAAACATCAGTAGATGTGTGCAACGTTACAATCGGAGATAAATACGCTTCGATTCGCGCGCAGCCGTCGGTATTTCGGTTCAGCCACGGCAGGCGCAATGATACAACTATTCGACCACGGATGTAGGCATGTTGCGGCCAGCCGGATTGAAGGCGCGTCAAACTGCGAAGATCACGCAGCCGCGTTCCCTTCCCTGGCAGTCGCAACGCTGAAATCGCCGCAAACCTAAGAATACGCGTCATTATATTCACTTTTTGCCCTGTTTTACTATATTTAAATTGAAATATGTATTTCAACTAGAACGATTCAAAAACTTTAATCGTAGTTGATTCGTTTTTTGATTGAAGAAAATTGAAAAACGAGAGTAACGCGTCGTAACTCTCTATGATTTTTATTTTTAAATCATTTCAGAAAACCCGAAAACCTTCAGAAAACTACAGGAAGCTTCGTAAAACACATCGATTAAAAATAAAACATCAGTAGATGTGTGCAACATTACAATCGGAGATAAATACGCTTCTACGAGGTCTGTTAGATTAGAAACCGGATTTTGGTCATAACTAGCCTATTGTGCGTCCAAATTAAGTTTTTTTGATCTTTCCTGATAGCTGGAAATATACTTAAGAACGCTACGTTCACAGATTTGAAAAATCTTAATTAACCTCGTTGGTATGTGGCTTCAAGTACGGCAACCTCATGGGTGTTTTGCGATTTTTATATTTGACCGAACTTGTCTCTCTTTTTTCGGTCTTGCACTAAATTTTTCAATCCACAAGGATGATTGGAGTTTCGTCTCCGTATCTTAGCCGTACACTCAAGTATTATCACCGAAAATTATCCAATCAAAAAATGTAGGATCATTGTTAGAACGTTCAAGCAGCTGCAGGTAAATTAACATTTGGTTGGATTTTGTTCAACGGACAACAATCAAGGGGGAAGTGTACTCTGAAACTCTATGCATGTCTACATATTCTATCAAAATTGTATGTACAGAGCCTTCAGAAATATTACACTGTTCAGCAAGCTCGAAACGACCATTTCCGAGACTTTTGCCCGCACTTCTTCCACGTGACAAATGTTAGTTGCCGTTGATGGTCGATTCCCATGCTCCTCAACTTCAACGAACTCCTGACCAGTTTTGAATCGTTTAACCCACTCAAAATAGTGAGAAAAACTCATATAATGATCTTGGTAAACATTACTTAGCATACCAAAAGTTTCGGTACAAGGTATACCCGAGCTTGAAACAAAATGTAATGTTAAATCTTTGCTGTGTCAGTGATCGTATGATGAAAATCGCAAAACGCACCTGACTTCCTCGTATTCAAGATTACACAGAATAAACACTGATCAAAATAAACAAAATCTGTGAACGTAGCGTTCTTCAGTATGTTGTCAGCTATCAGAAAAGTCTAAGAAAACCTAATTCGAACGCACAGTAAGCTAGTTATGACCAAAATCCGGTTTCTAATCTAACAGACCTCGTATTCGCGCGCAGCCGTCGGTATTTCGGTTCAGCCACGGCAGGCGCAATGATACAACTATTCGACCACGGATGTAGGCATGTTGCAGCCAGCCGGAATGAAGGCGCGTCAAACTGCGAAGATCACGCAGCCGCGTTCCCTTCCCTGGCAGCCGCAACGCTGAAATCGCCGCAAACCTAAGAATACGCGTCATTATATTCACTTTTTGCCCTGTTATAATATTGCTATCGCTAGCGATTGCAAAATCCAACTTGTTTATTTTTAAATCATTTCAGAAAGAGCTTGATGCAAAAACGGCTTTTTTCGCCCCCCCCCCTCTGGAAGTTATTCAGACTTTGTCTATTGATTACTCATACTTGAGCGCTTCTTTTCCCAAATTTTCAGACCCCCAAAAAATTTTGGGGGGGAGCTAGGGGGGGTGGAAGTCAAAACCTGTGAACCTCGATATCTCTTGAACAAAGAAAGATATCGAGGTCCGGTTTGGACGAAAAATCGTCTAAAATTGCATACTTTAAGATTATAAAGGTTGAAATCCCGATATCACATTTTTAAGTCAACATATGTGCTTTTTTCCAGTTTTTAGGTCTAGAAAATTTCTTTTAAACGAAAAATTTACAAAGATCTCAATTTTTTATTTGAACCAAAACCAGTTTTTTAAATTGTTCGTAGTTTTCCGCGTCCAACGAGTTGTCCATTAAGCTGTGGAACCAAACGGTTCCGGAGTTATGATCGATTGAAGTTTCCGCTCAACGTGCGCCGACCGATTTTCGCGCGCAAAAAAGTCGGATTTGACTGTTATTAGATCAGATTGAATGTTCAAACTGAGCAAAATGCTTTATTAGGGACTCTTGAGGGTCGCTGAGTTCAGAAATTACCGATACTTCCAAAAAATTCACGATTTTAAAATTGCAGCTTCGGACAGGACCACTGAGCGGCCGGTCGGCGCTCAGTGGGCCTCTAAAATAGCGCTGCGGAGCTTTAATTTTAAAAACGTAAATTATTTGGAAGTATCTGTAATTTCTGAACTCAGCGACCCTCAAGAGTCCCTAATAAAGCATTTTGCTCAGTTTGAACATTCAATCTGATCTAATAACAGTCAAATCCGACTTTTTTGCGCGCGAAAATCGGTCGGCGCACGTTGAGCGGAAACTTCAATCGATCATAACTCCGGAACCGTTTGGTTCCCCAGCTTAATGGACCACTCGTTGGACGCGGAAAACTACGAACAATTTAAAAAACTGGTTTTGGTTCAAATAAAAAATTGAGATCTTTGTAAATTTTTCGTTTAAAAGAAATTTTCTAGACCTAAAAACTGGAAAAAAGCACATATGTTGACTTAAAAATGTGATATCGGGATTTTGACATATGGAATCTTAAAGTATGCAATTTTAGACGATTTTTCGTCCAAACCGGACCTCGATATCTTTCTTTGTTCAAGAGATATCGAGGTTCACAGGTTTTGACTTCCATCCCCCCTAGCTCCCCCCCAAAATTTTTTGGGGGTCTGAAAATTTGGGGAAAGAAGCGCTCAAGTATGAGTAATCAATAGACAAAGTCTGAATATCTTCCAGAGGGGGGGCGAAAAAAGCCGTTTTTGCATCAAGCTCTTTCCGGAAAACCTTCAGAAAACTACAGGAAGCTTCGTAAAACACACCGATTGAAAATAAAACATCAGTAGATGTGTGCAACGTTACAATCGGAGATAAATACGCTTCGATTCGCGCGCAGCCGTCGGTATTTCGGTTCAGCCACGGCAGGCGCAATGATACAACTATTCGACCACGGATGTAGGCATGTTGCGGCCAGCCGGATTGAAGGCGCGTCAAACTGCGAAGATCACGCAGCCGCGTTCCCTTCCCTGGCAGTCGCAACGCTGAAATCGCCGCAAACCTAAGAATACGCGTCATTATATTCACTTTTTGCCCTGTTTTACTATATTTAAATTGAAATATGTATTTAAACTATACCGATCCAAAAACTTTAATCTTATTTGATTCGTTTTTTGATTGAAGAAAATTAAAAAACGAGAGTAACGCGTCGAAACTTTTCTATGATTTTTACTTTTAAAACATTTCAGAAAATTTCCGGAAAACCTTCAGAAAACTACAGAAAGCTTCGTAAAACACATCGTTTAAAAATAAAACATCAGTAGATGTGTGCAACGTTACAATCGGAGATAAATACGCTTCGATTCGCGCGCAGCCGTCGGTATTTCGGTTCAGCCACGGCAGGCGCAATGATACAAGTATTCGACCACGGATGTAGGCATGTTGCGGCCAGCCGGATTGAAGGCGCGTCAAACTGCGAAGATCACGCAGCCGCGTTCCCTTCCCTGGCAGTCGCAACGCTGAAATCGCCGCAAACCTAAGAATACGCGTCATTATTTTCACTTTTTGCCCTGTTTTACTATATTTAAATTGAAATATGTATCGATACTTTTGAGGTATCGATTCCATCTATACTATTTCTAAATAATATTGAATTCGGAGTTTGCGTATGTCAGTCGGCCGTTGAATTCCGCCAGAGCTACACTTCTCTCGAAACCGCCCTTATTCACCTGCTTAGTCAACTATAATGAGCCCTTCACTACTATTATCGAACTGATTGTGAGCTTTTAACATTTTTAACGAAAGTAATCAACTTGAGAAACCTGATTACTCCGTCGTTTGTATCAGTGCCTAGTGAAGGTGAAACAGAAGAGAGAGAAGTTGTTAAATAAGAAAAAGAGGCCTTCTTCATGACCAAATCAGATAAAGTACCGTTATCATCGATATTGGGGTTTGAGGATTGATACTACCAAGTATCGATGCCAAGTATCGATGAGTATCGATCAAAAGTATCGATACTTTGGAACTATCGATTAAGTATCGACAACCCTACATTAAGGTCTACATAACGCCCTGATCAAAATTCTGTTGAATTTGTTGTGAATTTTAGAATTTATGCTGAAGTTTTATCATTCCACAACGCTTGAAAATCTGAAAAATCTAAGAAAAAAAATTCCCAGCCTCCACAATTTTTAGGGCAACTTTAACTGAATCGCCGATAAGCGAGCAACGAGTTCGGAGGTAGGCACTGGGGTCATACTGCTTGAAGCCAATCGCAAATAAGCGAATCTGTGGATACCGGAGATCTTCTGTATTGAAGGTCTTTTGCATTTCAGTGGTATCGCATTGATTTTTCTCTAACTTTTTTTTGTTTTTCAGACTCTCCAAAGCCTCAACACAAGTATCACCTGTCCCGCGCTAAGTCATCACCTCAACATGCATCCAAGACATCCGGAATGTCGCGCAAAGCTGCCTCCAAAGTTGATCCTAATCTCATTGTAGTTAAGGAACCACTACCAGGCGAGAGCACAGACACAGATCCTGATATTCTCAAACTCCAAGTAAGTCAAATGTTTGTAAGTTTTTTTGTTGCTAATTCGCATCTTAACCGAGTGAGAATAAACCCATCAAGTGAAGCAAGAGCCATTGAACACAGCTCAAAATTCAGCACCTTAATGTCAACAATCTCTCCTACCCAACCTATTCTCATATCTCAACTCTACGATTTTTTGCTTATTGAAGGTCTACATCTTACTTATGCAATGCATCATAATTTGATCATTTTATGTCCCTTTTTTTGGTCTAATACTGGCCCAGACGTCGGTCTCTAAGTCCAGTTTGGCGGAAAGTACGAGTTTTGCCAGTTAGCGGGCCAATGCTAAAAAATCCACATTTTTCACCAAAATCGTCTTCCAGGCCTGTGTTTAGGTCCTTATTAGGGTCTCCTGTAGAAGAACCCCACTGTAGCATTTTTGTCAAGCAACTTCCAAGACACTCGGTGGGCTGCTTATTTTTCCTTTGAAATGACAGGTGAGTTTTTTGTACAATGATTTTGTTTTTTGGTCCCTGTTTTATTTGGTTAGGTTAGGTTGGTTCGGTTTGAAATGTGTCCTCCCCCCCCTCGCTTATTTTTTATTTTATCGGTGGATCGAACTTGGCAATGCTGTGATTGTAGCTATGTACATACGGTTGCAATGGTGTGGAGTGAAGGAAAGAGTTTGCTTGGAGCTTCGAGGAGGTGTTTCAAAAGTTGCTTGACACAAAGCTGTGGCGGGGCTCTCTTACAGAAGCCCCCAGTATTAGACCTAACATGAGAGAGAAAATGGACGGATCATAATGCGTTCTGTAAAGTGTTGACCTTTTATGAACATTAAATCCTAGGGTGATGGAATTTCAGGTAGGGTGTGTCCGAAAACGGTCCTTATTGATACTCCTCCTTTGGTCCTAGAAAAAAAAGTGAACCGAAAATTAAAAAACGCAAACTTGCAAAATGAATTAAAGTAAATGCTAATGCGTTTCAAGACCCCAAAATCCCTTCTTCAAGACTGAAATTTTCACTGGTCATTCGTTGTTTACATCTTGCTGGACTTGATTCCTGTCAGGGTTGTCACTGTCACCCATCACTTCGATAAAAAACTTTTCCAAACATTCCAAGTCCAGTTGATAAATTAGAATTTAATAGAAGTTTAAGAGTGAGAAAAAATAAATTCTATTCAGAAAATTGGCTCTGGGGATACTGTCCTTTAAGATGATTCTGTCAGCACAATTCAGAATGTAATAGGTATCATGTACGATGTTCTTTGGCACTTGTGACTCTTGCATTTGCTCCTCAACCCTTAAAGTTGAACCAAAAGTAGCAAAATGTAACCAAAGAAGCCATCAAAATCCTTTTCACCACATCAAAACTTGACAATTGTTATACACACAGTCTACAACTTCAACAAGTTTTTGTAGCATTTATTACAACTACTATTCTTCCTCTAAAAGTAGCCTCAGAATCAAAAACCCTTCATACCTCAATTTTGGTAAAAATAGAGTTCGTCATACCTTACCTAGAAGGGGATGAAGTGAGCCGAACGGGAAACTTTCAGTATGAAATGATGATGTTTTTACTTCCATTGTATAAAGAAATTGATAAGTTGTGAAACTTGTTGAAACAGAGGGTTTTCCAAAGCCCTTCTTTAAAATTTTTGATGATAGGAATTCTAAGTTTTGGAAATGTAGCGCTCTTAACTTCCTACCTATAATAGTTACCCGACTTATGTCGTCAATTCTTTCGTCCACAATAACTATCGTTAAATTCACGTTAGTCTATTCAAATTTTGTAATTTTGTCCATTTTGGTCTTACAAAGAACTGTATAGATTTTTGGTTAAATTGCACTTACCGTTTACTTATAAACGGTAATTAACGTAAGTGCCCTACTTACGCTGTTTTCCACTAATCTGTTTTATTCTTTGTTTTATTTATTTTTTTTTAATAAATCATTGCTAGGTGAGTTCTAATTTTTTTGCCAGCATTTATTCTAAACCCCCCCCCCCCCCCCCCGCTCATTTTTCTAGCTCTATCACCCACTCCCTTTAACTCATTTTTCTATCGATTTTATCATTTTTTATGGCATGTCTTGCTCCCTTACCACCATTTTTTCGGGGTAATAGATATTTTAGCGGCCTCTAGATCCGTGACTCCAGTCACGGGCATTTCGCTAGTTAACTCATAAGTAAATGCATTTTGTATTAAATTTTTTTTTTCCCCCATGCCTTTTTCAAAAATGTTAATTAACAACCCTTGTGTCATGATTTAATATTTTGCAGAGGATCCCCAAGTTCCTTCCAATCATGAGAGGCTCTATAGGAGCTACAGATGCAAAGGATCCGGAAGTATTTGAGCGTTTGGATTCAAACAATTTGTACAGACTGTGTTTGATTTACGAAAATTATCTCCACAAGCATGCAGTCTCTGTGGAAGCAGATCAGAAAACACTACTAGAACAAATAAAAGAGGTAAGTAATGGAGGATATTATAGGTTAATTTCATAATGGACCTGTTGCAGACCAAAAACGCAGCCAAATAAATAAGCCTACTGCATCTAAAATTGCAAAAAAAATTCCTGGGCACATCATAAAAGTCTGAAATCCACTTTTTAGTGCACAATCTGCGTGTTTGGAACGTGCTTGTTCATATTTACCACTACTGCAGGCAGTTTTACTTAGTGGCCAACTATCAGGTTCAGGATTGCTCAGAGAATGTGAATTCATGTGTTTGAGTCAATTGGTGTGAGTCAATGGAAATAAATAATTGGAATCCATTTTTCAATGAGGAACCACCATTTTTTTTATTTTATAAACAACATACATGCTATTAGTTTTCCTATGCGGATACATGCTTTTAAGGATGCACCAGAAGTAGTTGTTCCGTTTTGCAGAGTTCATGATCCACAAGGTAGAGGGGTCAAAAATCGTGCCAAGCACACCGCAGCGTGACAAGTTCGTGTAAAGTCTTTGGCCCAACTTTACAAAGTCAGAGAAAAGCCATAGAACATTGCTACAAGACCTTGCAATTTTTTCTTTCAGTCGAAACATTGCACTTCCTCAATTTGAGTCATTTCAGTCATTTCCCTCATTTCAACTAATTGTCTTGAAAAATCATGAATGTATGTACATAGAAAAAAAGAACATTGAAAAGTCAGGAATTCGAATGATGAAGAAAACTGCCCGCAGCGCATCAGTGGACAATCTATTGGAATTGATTGTCAAAGCAATATAGACAAAGTAGACGGAGGAAAAGTGGATGGATCCCATTGGTTGAAACGGATGATTGTCATAAATGAAGGACTAAATGATGGACTAAAAATAGGGTCTAGTGTGGGTTGCCCTCAGTCTTTAACCATCCTTTGTCCATCCTAACCATCCGCTCGTATCAATAGAATCGCTCCATTTTACTATCAGCTTCTTTGCCCACTGGTTTGTCTATCAATTTCAATGATCTTCCTGCAAGAGAGTCTGATCTTCTGTCCAAACTTCTTAATCCGTGCAGTGCAACCTGCATCCAAAAGTACATAACTTGACTAAAACGAATCACCTAGGTTTCATAATCGGATAGGAAACTCAAGATGGCTGCTGTTGTATGTCGATTTTTTTCAATTTTTTTTAAGAAAGAAAGAAAAAAAAACATTCAATGCTATTTTGTCGTTGCCCATATAGAAGAACATTACCTTATTTCGACATCTCAAAATTTTCACTCGCAAAATGAATTTTTTATCAGGCAACTGTTAGACATTTCTCAAAATCATGTTCGATTTTTATTTCTACTTCAAAACCTTTATAATGAGATACAACATAACTATTTTTGGCTGATTTTAGGAACAAGTTAAGGCCATTAGTTTCCTCACTCAGTTAAGTGATTTCATAAATGAGCCAGAAATAGAAATTGCTAATTGCAAAGTTTGGTTCTTTTCTTAACCATGCGTAGCATGGATTTTGACTAAATCTAATCTTGTTATTTTGTGCACCTGTTTAAGATTCACAACGAGTCGAATAGGCTAATCTACTCCTACTCGGAACGTCAAAAAGCTTTTGCCCGATATGCAGACCAGCTGAGTAAAGTGACGCAGCTAGAGCAGAGTCTGAACAAGTGCCATCTGAGCTTGAACAAGACCTTGGAAACAGTCGAAATGCTCAACAACTCTTTGCCGCCGGACGAGAGACTCGAACCATTTGTATGGACCACAGGTTGAACTTGGTACTAATTTTGCATCTGGAAGACTCGAATCCAAGAGGAAACAGGTTTGAAGCTCTAATTAATTCGCAACGAATGGTGTTAAAGTCACAGGGTGTCTTCTGGTCATGAGAAAGTGTGTAAAAACTTGAATGTAAATTACTCCTTGACAAAGTATTTGCGAAATTCCATTCCAATCGACTCTGCTCTCTCAGACCCTAAGCTCATTGTAAATCTACTGAAGTGTGCAGTAAGATCACACCAAAGTTGGAGTTTTGATAAGAACAAATATGTACAATATTTCAGATCTCCTAAAATATGTCAAATGGAGATGCGTTAGAAATCAGAAGATGCACAATAAAGGTATGGCAACTTGAAGAGCAACTTATAGCCATGCCTTTGTAGGAGCCTCAGAGATGGGAAGAAGGGTTATGGAAGTTGATAAAACTAGAAGTTATTTTTTGATTGTCAAATAGTTGATGGGCTGTGATAATCTTGAAAACAGCATTGTATTAACTCAGAACTTGGCAAGATTTGATGGCGTGCAGCAACTAATTTTTTGTTGTTTGATGTAATCAATGGTTGTTACTCATGTTTATGAGTTACTTAATTCATCTGAGTAGCACTGAGGTGCATGTCAAGGACCTTTAGGTCCGTTCCTACAATTCCTAAGAGCAATGAATTTGCCATAATGGTTATAATGAAGGAGGTGAAGTTACATGTCATAGGCTACATTAGTTACATGTTATAGGCATCATTAGTTACATGCTATTTTTACTTGTGGCGGTTCTACGGATTGCTGCGGCACCCAGTCTTGCCTCCTTGGGACTGGCTTAAGATGTGTTCTAATTGAACAGATTATTTTATAAATGTCGTAAGCACCAAAAATGCGAATTCGAGAAAAACAAGAAAAACCGTTTTATTTGCTTTGTTGACAAGCTTCGAATTTCAAAATAATGCATGTTCTTTTAGAAGGCTATTATGAAATCAGACATTATTATCCTAGAGAAAACAAAGAAAAAAAAACTATAATCATCAGCCTGTGTATTTTCTATAAAATGCGGCACAGTCGCTAACTCATTTTTGACAAAATTGTCAGCTGAGCCGTATTATTTCGTTAGCCCTCAATATTTAAAATAAGCAGTAAAAATTATTTAATATAAAAGACAACTCACCATTTCCTTAGAGGCCGCCGTAATGACCGCAGTAAAAATTGTCGCTGCTTCTTTCACACTTTTTCCTTCTAAGATGAAGTACATATCTATAGTATACAATCTAAGTAGGTAACCTAAAAAAAAAAACACACACACAAAAATCACTATGAGCGCATCGGCAAACTGAAATGCACTCCTAACTTCACAATCTGCGCAAGAAATTTGTGTTTGTTTAAGCTTACCGCTTCAAAAAGATTACTACAGCAGAGGTGAAAATTTCGTTAAGGAGTCATTCCATTCAATCCCTGCTGAACATGGCCGACGCTTCCGCAAGCAAGTTGCGGAGAGCACGAGGTCAATCAAGGATATCTACCAACGCGAGAAAAATGTGAATGTAAACTGGTATTTATACTGTTTACATGATTAAATATATTGATTAAGTTCATTGTGGATATGTTGCACTGTGCTAATTTTAAGGCTTGCGGAAGACTCTTTTGATCGTTCGGTATCCATCTAAAGCTACTTTCTAGCCACAGGTGGCTATCAAAAAATCTCGCAAGTGGAGTCACTGCTGAACGCATTATCATATTTAGAATTTGCTCCCCCTTGTGCCTTTGGATGTTGCTTCTGGCGGGTTGTACCTTGTTGTCTTTCGCTCCGTGCCCTCCAGCTGGTCCAGCGCTCTTGCCTTCCTGTCCAAGATTTTCTTTATCAGTACCAGATCTGGGTCCATAGGTGTGTTGAAATGTATCAGCGCCCTTGTTTTTGCGTGCCGCCACCAATTCATCTTCTCCTCCTTCACTATCTGGCTGAACAGATATATTTCCAACTTCACTGTGGCATAGCCAATTTCCCCTGACGTTTGAAACTTTAACTGGTATTCTCCCTTCGCGTGACAAATATACTGCGAGATTACTCCATCGCGTTCTGTTGACAGTTGCTGTTGCAATGCACTGAGGAGAAAGCCACTTTCCATATAGTCTTCTGATGGTCTTTGTGACGTAGCATCTACTTGTGCAATTTGCGTATTCGCACACAAGGACGGCATGGATGTGCATGCTGTGGGATGCGATGAAGCAGAGGGCGGATCTAATCCGAGCCAGAGATCGCACCAGGCACTTTTCAGGTTCAATTCCAGCTCTGATTTTATAAATGTCGTGTAGAATGGTTCTTTTGTTAAAACAATCAGCAAATCCTTCCATTCACAGTCTATAAGGTTCCTCCCATCTTTTTTCAATTGTTTCATCTGCAGCTGCATACCTTTCATTAATGTCGTAACAGGTTTTTGAATCAGATCCGTCAGACTCGAGTAAAATTCCACGTCCGTCTGAATCATATTCGTCAATTTCTTGATAACTCGAGGCAGCTCAGACAGCCCCGTCTCTGTATAGGAAATCAGGTCCTTTATCATTTCTGCAATTGGATGTTCTTCTATTTTTTGGATTTTCTGTTCTAAAATTTTCTGATCCGCCGCCAATTTCTTCTGCGCGTTCAGGTTCAATTCGTCTTCCAGCAGTGCTTGTGTCGCCACAAATTCCGGTGATTCCGCCCTTTTGGAAAATTTGGATTTTTTAAACTTGGACACGGATATTTCTGAACAGATTCCATTATTTTGAATTTCGGTTTGTGGAACAGAGGTTGTGCCATCCTCGGCTTTTGAACCATTTTCAGCATTTTCTATTTCAATGTTTTGAAGTCCAGAGGTGTTTAAATAATGATCATCCATGCTATATTCGTCAACGTCATCAGAACAAGTCAACCTATCCTGAATGTCGAGCAATTCAGGTGGAAAAAGTCGGTGAATAAGCATTTCTGGCCATAGGTAAATTTTCCTTTTCTGAGCATGAAAATATCTTTTATTGCTGCACCATTAAAGGGCTAATTGGGTCTAATATTAGGCGTGTACAACCTTAGGACGCTGAACTTTAGTGTGAATTTTGGTTTTTTTATCCCATCTCTTGCAGGTATCTTGTTTCCCCAATCCTACAAAATTTGAGCTCCTGAGCATATCATCTTTTTTTTTTCATCACTGTAGCAGAGGTTAGTGGTACATTTAAGAATCTATCAATGCGGATGGTGCCAGCTGCATATGTTCTTTTATTGGCCAACCACTGAAATAAGTGATAAGTAGCAAAATAATTATTGAAATACATTTGATGATAAGGCTCATAGAGTCGAGAGTGTAACTGCATAACCGTGACCACCTGTCATCTTTCAAGAAATCGGAGTCCTCAAATTCTGCTTCTTCTCCTTCGTTTAGCAGCATCAATCCATCATCTGGAGCATTTCCGCATAAGTCATGATACAACAATTTGATGTGTAACATTATAACGTATTATATAATATACGATTACAACATTATAACATATATAACAATTAGAGCAAACAATACTACGTTGTACTACTTTTGGCCACAATTTTTCAAGTTTAACAAATTATTTCAAGTTGATCACTAAACATCATAAACAGTAAAAAAATACCAAACACAAAAATACTAAACAAAGAGAGAACAACACATTAAGGGAATCGGAGAAATTTATAAAATGTGTTGCCCAAAACCAAGTTTGAGCCGGGCCAGTTAGAAGTTTACTGGTTTGCACAAGTTTAGTTTTATCAGAAACTCGAAAATCAAGACAAGTAATCATCGAATGAACTTATAAACTCCTCGGGGTTAAGTTGCTCATTATCTCCATTATAAAGACTAATGTCGCTAATTTTGGGTCTAAAATCTAACACTTTTCTGTTCTCGGGTCACTGGAATGAGACATATCACTAGGGCTTGAATTGAATATCGAGCCCCAGTTAGGCACAGGCATGTACGGTTGATTCTGAGCACTTGAGGAGGGATGAGGCCGAATACAATTTGTATGCGAAGCTACATTTGCATTTTGGTCAAATACTAGTAAATATTAAGAAAAAAGAATCATTGCCACATTGGAATTGACACAGTTAGACATTGGTGAGAAATTATGGTTGGGCATAAACACTGAAACTTGTCGCTTGAAATTCAGGGGCTTGGCTCATGATGCTATTGGCAACGTTTTGACCTGATTGTCTTTGAATGTTATGATTACCAAAATTAGAAACATGGGTAGCCTGAGTATTCTTATTGCAGCTCGGAACAACTGCTCTATCAACCTCCGCTCTAAGCAAATTCGGCAAATCAGATCTGATAGAAAACAATTCCCGCTGAAATGCAACCCTCAGGTCACTCATGTCTTGCATAATATCAGATAATCATCCACTAGTCCATTCATTCAAATCAGGATCCTCGTATGGATCAGACCTAGTATGGTTTTTAACGTCTCTGGTTCAAAAGCTCTGCTGTTGGGTTGCCCGGGTCTCTCTCGCACACTGATGGCGGAGGCGATGGTGGCGGAGGGGGAGGGGGGCTCAAGGGAAAAATCCCTCAAACCCGAACCTGTAGAGAGGGTCCTCAGACCACCAAGAGTTTGCCGGTGGCGGCAACTGCAACGCGGAGCATGGAATCAGCGGCTCTTTCATCCTTGGCGGATTTTCATATATGACGACCTAACCTAACCTAATCTGACCTAACCTAACCTAATCTAACCTAACCAATTAACAATAATTTATGGCTAGGCACTTACCGGGACAGCCTCCACTCCATTCGGATGCCCTGCTGGTAGCGGCGGGGCTACCGCTGGGGATCGGAATGGACTCTACTGAAAAGTCCGTTGTCAACAGCGGTTTTTTCGTCGTAGGAAGATCGAAGGCCGCCTTCCTTTTCTCCATCGCACTCAGTATTTCGTTGGTGCCTTTTTGGTCTCCTTGGTAATTCATTTTTCTTTGTTCTGGACCGAAAAAAAAAAATTTGTGTAAAAAATCGTTTAAAAAACAAAATAAAAAAAATTTTCGTTTATGGATGGAGGCGGGGGAGGGTGAATTGGAGAAATAATCAGTTTTTTTCCATCAACCAATTGTATAATTTGAACGCATTTTCGAGGGCACAGTGAGGATACTCATACGAGCACCGCTGGGCGCTCGGATAGTTCCACAGGTCTTTTAACTGCGGTGTCTCGCTTAGATTCTTGATGCTGTAGTCGTTCCGGTGTATGTACGGGCGAATCCACCTCTGTTTATGGATGCCCTTCATATATATCACTTTCTCTTTCTTTAATAGCCTTTCCATTATCCCCTCTAATTCCCTCAAATCAGTTTCACCGTCCGACCAGTCTAACTGATGGTAATTCTTGATTATCCACGCGTTATCCCCTGTGTAGTATCGTTTGTTTACGCTCGTTTTAAACACATAGTGTTCAATGGTTGTGCCATCCGTGCTCACCACACCGATTTCTTTAATTACATAGGTGTTCCGTGCCCCGCGGTACCCTTGTATGTCCAATATGTACGGCATGCTGTAAAACAAAACCATAATGTCTAACCAAGATAGGTTTACCCTCACACAAAAATTTTCATAATAGCAACATATATATTTGTTAGAGAAGTCCCCACAGAAGGTTTAGGGTAAACTGTGAAAGGGTTAGAAGTTTTTGAATCAGGTCGGAACGATTTTTTTTTTTAACAGCCCGTAATTTATTAATACATTTGCAGTGATGGGACGCTTGCAAGGTGAGGTGTTTTCTTTTAAAATCGGGGTAAATACTCTCCGGTTTCTAGTATCCTAACCGTGAATGGACTCTGTCCGCTTGCCTGAACCACGCTCTAGTCATGACTTTTTGAATATCAGACTCATCAAGGTGCTTACGATCGAAATTATGTTAAGAGCGAGCGAGCATCTCAAACATTTCCCATCTTAGTGTTTGAGCAAAGAAAAGTCCTGTCTCCGCACACTTCAAAAGCACAAACGCTAGCAAATTTTTATCCCGCTCTCAGTTTAAATGATCAATCAGCAAACAAAAATGTTTCTGCAATCTTGGGCTAAGGAACATACTAGAGACGGATTTACTTCGGTTAAAATGTATGACTTGTATGGTGTATGACTCCCATCTGAGTCGGACCTGGAAAACGGGGCCGTAAATCGCGGTAGCGAGTGGCTCGGCGAAGTGCACGGACTTCTGGGGCCGGCTAGGTGGGGACGGACGCCGGCGAGGAATCGACAGGTGAGGCCTCCCTAGTCAGCAGCCACCAAGAGAGGCTTAACCTCACACAAACATTTTAGCAATAGCAATATACATATTAGTAAGAGAAGTCCGATCAGAAGTTTTAGG